GGCTTCAGGTTTCAGGTTTAGGGTTTTTTGACACTGCTAGTCGACAGGAGGTAGAGGTGTAGGCATATAGTAATGCCGAGCCAGAAACAAGCCAGAGAGCCGGAACCAGAAACAACAGCGAAACCATACTACCAGGAATACGTGCGAAGCCCCAAGCCGCCGAGGCAGTAAACAAACACAAATATATTTAAAAAACTTAGACCTAGACCTCCTCAACAACCTGCTGAGTGGCTGTTCTCAAACTAACTCTTTAAGCATGACGACTCGGAGCACCGAGGGTCATCAAGAAGCCCTAAAACCCTGACCCTGCTTTTGCTCTAAGTTTAATAAATAATTAGGCCTAAGGCTCGGCGGGTTCGAGGTTCTGGGGTAACTAAAGGCTTTCTTCCCTGTGTAATACTAAGACTTAGTACTAATTAAACTGATTCTTAACTAATTAGCAACCACCCCAAACCTCCCGAAACATACAGAACTTTAGTAATTAATTACTCAATTCAGTAAGGCTAGAAACCTACTAGACCCTCCCAAACCCTTCTACTTAGACCCCAAACCCCTCTGGCGGCTGGGTCTCCCTGGCGACCAGCCACATTAGCCATGGTGCAGATCAGCTAAGGCTGCAGAGGCGTGAGAATAAAATTTGCCCCATTAGCAAGCATAAGCCCTTCCGAAGTTGTCATCCAACAGCAGCTCCTGCTAGATGCGCAAGCGCACGTCTAAAGAAAGCCTTTATTGCATGACCGTGTGTCTACACCCACAGCAGATCAAAAGACGCCCTGCTTCCTAGGTCAGAGCGAAAGACTAAAAAGGAAGGAAACACTGGGCTGCTGTTAAGGAACTCAACTTAACTACCAGAATGGGGACATCTGGTAATAGGGTTTGCCGATTATAGTAGCTCAAGTTAAGCTCCTTCACAGCAACCCATAAGAGGGGAACCCCTCGCCTCCGTTCTTAGGGCTGACAGTGACGACCGCACCCGCAACGTCCTCATGCTGTCTCGTTCGATTCTGTTTAGGTTTTTTTTTTGGTTTGTGAGGGTTCAGGGTTTGGGGTCATCACAAGGCAAGGTGTCGGGGGCGACTCTCTCAATAGGGAACCCCGAAGACAACACGCTACCCAGATGGCTGATTCATCCAGGTCGGCTCGAGGGCAAGTCGGCCAGGCCGGGGATTACACGGCTTTCAAGACCGAGCAGGGCTTCATGCAAATATCTCTAACCCATCAACGAAATCGGATGGAGCTTGTAGGGCTTACAAAGGTCCAGCGGTCGAAGTGTCACGAATATGAGTGCTACTTATACTTAGTACTTATTACTGTAGGTAGGCTGAAAGCCAGCAGCTTCAGAAGCTCACCCTGTGAGCATGAGCAATGTGAACCCTGCCCGACAACGTGCAACCGGGGAGCAAGCTGGCGCGCCACCTGTCTCAAAAGCCGGGCGATGATGGCGCTTTTGCTCATTGTTACTTGCGTAATTACATGCTCTTCGTTAGACTCAGACCACCATGACGGTCTGATGGTGACTTTGATTCAGCTTCTTTCTCGGCTTTTTCTGGGGTTGTGCTCAAGCGAGCAGCCTGAAGGACTTCCAAAGAAGTTGCCTCCTCCCACTGATGCGTACAGGTGGTGTCGAACGCACCGCCGCCGACCCGAAACATCCCCCTTGCCATGAAAAAGAAGCAGCAATGATAACGCAGGATGAATGGATAAATGCCGCATCGATTCCTTCAGCATTTCGTACTGGAGACTGTCCGGTCTCCGCCTCGGGGTGTCGCTGCCACCGATCAGACTGATGGCCCCACTCTCCCAGCCAGGTAGAGGAGAACGTGCCTGCGCAACGACTGCGACCGAGAGACAGAAGATAAGTAGTTCAGGTGTCGGGTTCGTTTGATGCTCGACCTTCTGTGCCAAGCGATGGCTTGGGATGGGGACCCATTCATAGAGTATGTTCGTGCGACCGGGAAAGAGTGGCTACTATCCTGGCTACTCCAGACGTGTGTTCGGCCCTTAAAGGATAACGGGGTTCTAGTTCTTTTAAGATGAAGAGTCGGAGCAGATTTTCCGAGGCAAGAACCCCGTGACGAGTAGCCGCCCTGAGTTCATGGCCTCCCTCCGCTTTCCAGTCGCCGTGAGGGTTCTTCCTTAGACTTTGAGGCCGCAGGCTCACATGTCTCGAGGCTGAACACACACACACGAGTTTTGTCACGATCACTTCTGCTCGCAGCCAGCACCCTGAATTTCAAACCCTTCCCCTGTCTCACCAACAAAATCCATGAGAACAGCAAGGCTTCAAGGCCACCAGGCGGAGAGGCACGTTGCGCCTGCCTTGGTCCTGGGGTTGAGCTTGGGTGGCTCGAGGACACCGGCTTCATTGCTATCAGAGATCACTCACGATACTATCGAATAATTGCACCTTGTACCAGTAGTAGTAGTAGTAGTAGTAGTAGTAGTAGCAGCAGTAGTAGCAGTAGTAGTACTAGTACTCGTAGTAGTAGTAGTAGTA